AAAAAATAAATAAATGTAATCCACCCTTACTGACGAGCACGAATAAAAAAACTCTTGGCCTCCAGCTGGAACAAGAATTAAAATGTCCTGTATTAATAATAGTAGTAGTATTAGTAGTAGAAAAATGCACAAGCAAACACGGACAAGAACAACTGCACGGTGGATTTGATTTCTTCATGAACTGCAATGTAGTGAATAAATGACTTAGAAGTTTTCGAGTTTCCGTAGGCAGAATGCAAAATCATATACTCTTTAATACATATCTTGCTTGGACTGGAAGAATTATTTAGCAAATGATATACCATGGGACTGTAGATCAAACACTCATACCCACATAAACACACGCACACAGATACAGACTTTACATAAGCGAATATTGATACGACAAGTTTAGAAATCAAACTGAAGCATCATCTTTCGTTCAATCGCTTGAAATACGATTAGGGTAGTTAAACGTGTTCCCGGTCGCAAAAGCCGAATGAGAAGCACCGGGGTTGGACTGGGATCGAATAACCTTCTACAGACCGCCCACATTTCAGTGTATTTATGCTTTCCCCAGTAGACTCGCGACGGAGGAACACCTCGAACTATCGGATTTAACAAATGACCTATGCCCAAGCCCCGTTGTGGATAGACACAATGCGTTCACGAGTGAACTATCCGGCCACTTTCTTCGTAAGAAGTGTCATCCGGTTTAATTAAAACCGTCAGGAAGCAAGTTGACAAACCAGCTCACTTTTGTTGTTTAATTAAATAGTCAGAAGTTCACAGTTATTTAGCTCAAATTAAAATTTGGCAAGGGATTGGACAATAAATTGTACCAGGAGGGGAAGGATTGAATGACAGCCAAGTAATCAATAATGTGATCACTGTCATCAATAGGTTCCGGGGTTCTTGTTGTCTACAAGGATTGATGATGGATAGTTCTGGCAGTCTGAGTAATGCAACAAATTATTTTTGAGAGCTATTCAGCCGAATCATCCTCATCTCTGTGATGGATGGTGGACAACCTCTGACCTGCTTCGATCGCTTTAGATGACATCTCTATTCTCTTTCCTTTTCTAACCCCGTGTGCAGAACACAACAGCAGCCAGGACACCTGACAGGCTTGTGCCATGCTGGCAGCTGGAGGTACTCGCTGCTTTCCGGGTTGGGGAGAGGAACTGAATGATACAATTGTATACGTGATGTGTTTGAGGTTCTGTTTATCGATACTTGTTCACTGAGCAAATGGTGATCAGTTATTCAGAAACTTTAACTAGTCCGTTCGATATTGCGTTAATAAAGCAATACATTGCATTACTCCTAAATGAGATAATGACCGAATAATCTGTGATGGTTTCACTTGCTAGGATCTTCACTAATTGGTAATTACCTCAAATTCCAGTAACTGAACACCTTCTCTCTGAGAAATACCACAAAACTATTCAGTATATCCGGAATAGAGTTTCCAGCAAAAGAGAGAAATCCACAGGAATTCAATGTCACTCACATTCCAGTCTGCATCACTTGGTGTATCTATTTTTTAAAAACGTTGGGAACATTAACCGATAACTAATTTCTGTACAACCAAACCGTGGTTAACTTCAATTCCTTACTGACGTGGTGGAGAGAGAGCCAGCATATCTGTTAGATATTATATTGAATAGCTTTTGCGCAGATTAGATGAGATGATCTGATGTCATCTTAGCCAATTAACGAATTACGAATTGAGGAAATAAAATATAAGTGATGCGCATTTCAATTATGCTGCAGTGAATTATTAATCATAGAAAGACGTGCAAGGAAGGGAGCAAGATAATTTTCAGTTACCGTAGTAGAGAAACACCACCCCAAGCCTTTACCTGTGATAGGGTTAAAGCGTGTCATTCACGAGTGAATTGCATCACTCTGATCAACCCGCTTGTCTGCCCCAGTTCTCCGAAAACTGCTATGAATAAATTTTGAACAGAAATTCACTTGTTCAGTTTATGTTCTTCGGTTGATTGCATTCTGGATTTCTAAGTGAGAAACGTTTTATGGGCTTGATAGGATTCGAACCTACGCATGGAGGCCGCCTAGTCTTCCATGCATGGGTTTGAATCCCACCAAGGCTAAGGAACTTTGCACATCTGAAACACAAGACAATAAATTTTTAGTGGAACGAACGAACATGCATCACACTGACAACTGATGCTTAGACTGTTAAGATTTTGTAGACGAATAAAATTGACCCTTGACAATACTGCTTCAGAGAGCAGGGTAGATGAAAATATGTGAAGCTTTGTGTGGATTATGCCGAAACCATTTTTCATTTATCTCCGTTTTGCTATTTCATTATTTTTATACTACCTGTACGCTGGGGATTCCGAACAACATCACCCTATTTCATCCCTCATTTAAGGCGTGTCGCAAAATGCTCCCACAATACGAAGTCAGTGAATTTCGAGGTGGATTTCAATGAACAATTGACTGGCTTGATAGGCGTTTCCACACTCAAATGTATACCCAAAAAACAACAAAGAGCAGGCCAACAGTAGCCGTTTCTCTTACTTTACAGTGAGTTTATGAGCTCCATACTGGGAGATATCCGAGCAACTAAAGTATGTGGACGAAAGCCAATGACAAAATCTGAATTTGCAGGTAGCCTTCTTCATATCATTTGTATTTTGATTCATATATTGCGCAAAGAATCGGATGATCAAAAGAGAAAGGAACTGAATGTGTGCTTATTTTATTAAGTCAGACACCAGGATTAATTGCAATCCCCGTGTGTGTTTCAATCACCCCACACTCTCCACTCACTCACATCTCCGACAAGCATGTTTGATACACTTCATTACTGATAGAATTTGCCCGATGACCAAGAAAGTTCACCGGAAAGTTGTGCTGTTTTTATTTTGGGCACCCATCAATATTTCGTACCCCGTATGTGTTTCTTCCCGCCTTGGGGTGGGGCGGGAGCGGGAGCAGATCAAATGAAATTGAGGGTACAGTCCCACGGAAGTTGAGGGTTTTGTTCAAGTCTCATTTTTCCCAAATCAGTTGGCAGTTTTCCGGCTCTATTCTTTCACCGGAAATGGTTGGTGCAAGAGGTACGTTCCTCCACGGATTCCAGCTGGTTATCAGTGCATGGTTTTCCGTAGAACCCCCATACAAACGCTGCGAGTGTTTTTTAACCATTCATCCCATTTATCATGTGGGGTTTTAGACACGATTTTCTTTATTTCGCAAACGGTGCTGATGTCAAAATATCTTGGGTGATTCACTTCCCTATCATAAGCACAAAACCAGAATGAAGCCTGTTCATTTATTCGTTAAAAACGTTCCCGAATAAGTGTTCACTCCGCATGATCAGTGAGTGGTAGTGCTCAGGTTCTTTGTCCCTTTGTATGTAACACGTGTGGGTCCTGAGATTAGAATGACAAACTTTAGAACTCAACAAAGCCATGGTTAAGTGTATTTGAGCTCCTTATCACACTTAATTATTATGATACATTTAATTGCCTCATCGATTTGCTAGTTATTTGAAATTTAGAAGTAAGCATGTTGCAGTTTTATTGTGCCCATGTTTCATTCAATCATGGAACCGTAAAACTCATTCCGAGAGCAGTTCTTTCGTCTTATTTTGTTCTAAATAATGAAACAGTGTTGATTGGAGACTAAGTGACAAATGAAAAATGTGTCTATATACAAATTATTCGTCCGCAGACGAAAACTATTGCATAACGTAGTCAGTGAATGTACTAAAAAACATTTCAAATGTGAGTTTTCGGTCAGAGTCTTTATCCATAGACCAGCGATAAGGACTCACCCAAAAGGAAATTTCTTGCTCTCCATTGAGCTTTGCCGCGCTGATGTGCCACTCGACAGCGCATTTGGACATCTTCACCTTCGAGCACCTCATAACTTTCAGCCGGTAATTCCCTGAGACACTGAATTTTCTCCGCGTCCTGTTGCGGAGTACACATATTGGACTGATCAATGAGCACAGCTCGTGTATGATTGACCAGACAAGACGATAGGCCTGTATGATTACATTTTGTCGAACCGGGTTGGAGTGGATGGGCACCATTACCGACGGGTACACCCGCACCAACACCAACACCGATCATGGACCCCGGACGAACAGAATCGTGTGTTGCGGTCATCGTCCGGTTGATACGCCAGGGTAACAGTGGTGGTAGACCGACAGGTGGAAGAACAGATGGAAGGGTTTCAGCCAGATTAAGCTGTCCCGAATTGAGAGGCACAACAACACACACCGAAAACATGAACCAGCTGAGACAAATTGAAACAGTACAAAATGACATGGGCCTTGCTAGTTAAACGCAGAAGCTGTGCAATCCGGTTCCACTGACCACATTCGACACATGTGGTCTATGGGTGTTGGATTTCGGCGACAGGAATCACACACTCGTTCCGTACGAAGGGCACCAACTTAAAACAGTCATCGGAAGTGATCCGTATAAGATGTGAATCACACCGACGGNCGACGGATTAGGGATTACGGTTGGATCATCGGGTTTCGTTGGAATTCGTTCGAACACTCATCCGCAGGAATTTTATTCCATTCACGCGTTCCTCCATTCTACCCAAACGATTGCACTTCTTTCTCAGCCTTTCCAGCCTGAACCACACAGAGCACACTTAGATCCTATCACCGTTAGTCTCACCTAACCATGCGGCTAGGCGGATGCACGCGATTGTGTATGTGTTTATGCATAAGTCCGTACGCACGGACGCACGCTGCTAGGCGCACAGGTGCATGTACACGGACAACACGAACCAAATTGTGAGCATGCGGTGATGAGTACCGGTGTACATGAACGGACACTTGAGTGCTTGCATGCATGCATGCACA